CCCAGCAGCCACGTAGTTGCTTACAACCTTCTGTAACTCCAATGTTAAGGGATCCAGTGCCCTCCTCTGGTTTGCCAGGCATCAGACACACACTTGGTGCACACCTGCCTTGCTCATGCAAGCAAACACTCATGCAAGTAAAATAAAAATAAGTAAAATTATCTTTTGTTGTTGTAGTTTTGGAGACAGTGTTTCACGATGTAGCTCTGGCTGTCCTAGAACTCACTATGTAGACCAGGCTAGCCTCGAACTCACAGAAATGCCTCTGCCACCTGAGTAAAGATGTGTGCCACTACACCTGGCAAGTAAATTATTTTTTTAAAAAGATCTTTCTGTATGAGTTCTTAAAGGTCCATAGCTTGGATGTGATCAGGTCAAAACAAAAAAAGGTATCAGCACTGAGGAGGAATGGACAGGTTGAATGAGTTTAAATTCTGATTTTTTAAAGGAAACTTTCTGATTGGTATTTAAATTTTTCATCAGGTGCACATCAATGTGCTGATTTCCACTGAGTTTCTTCATTATCCTAATATAGCTCTGAAAGGGAAGGAAACACAACTGTCCAAGAAACAAAAGCTAGAGAGAGGAATAGCAAAGCTCCTTAGTCTTACAGAGGCTTCCCACGATGTACTTGGCATCATACGATGTAGTAAGGGACTTGGGGTCTGGATTATCCTGTCAATAATGGGGTACCTTATCATCTAAATTAAGGTAGAGGTGGGTGTAGACAGAGCCAGGAAAAGATCTGAGGCAGATGTTTAATGAGAAATGTGAGTTCATCTCTCTTATTGGTTTTGGATTTTGCTCCAATCGATTCCTTCTCATTAATACAATGCTTGGTTATTTTTAAAATGTCATCTTCCCAACAAAAAGCTGTATTTGGCCTTTGATTTAATTATCTAAGTCTTAACCCCATGTCTACAGCAATGTAGACACCCATTAGAAGTGAAAATCCTTGGGACCTAACCCAGAAACATCAGAAACTGTGGGAAGACAGCCCATTGATGTGGGCTCTAACAAGCCCGGTGGGATTAGTCTGTTGCTCATCAAAGACTGAAGGCCAGGCTTTCAACCAAACCACAGGTGTGTGAGTCAGAGCCCATGGATCTGCAGGTTCAACAGGCAGTCTTAAAAGAAAGTCAGCCTCCTTAGGCAAGCTTGGATTCTAAAGCTTATCAATAATTGGAATCATCCTTACTCAGACAACCAGTCCTATCGATTACCCTGTTGAAGAGCCATTTACATCTTATTTTTACCTCTGCCCCAATAGGAAAAAGTGAATAGCATGCAGAATGGAGTGCTCAAAGCGCAGGCCATGAAGACCAAGGAGACAGTTGACGGAAACACAGGAACTTTGACTTTGATGGCAGAGACTGACCGTAAGGTAGTTAATAGCAACAGAACTGTCTTGTTCACTGTTTGGTGCCTTTCACCTCCTTCCTTTTCCCTTCACACTCCCTCTTCTGTAACCCCGCCCACCTACCACTCTCACTAGATACATACCTTTGAGCTAACTCTGGATGAAAAAAGGTAATTGGTTTTTTCTCTCTTTCTTTCTTTCTTTCTTTCTTTCTTTCTTTCTTTCTTTGTTTTTCAATGAGGAATTACATATGGCTACTGAACACTATTTACAACCTGGAGCCTTTAGCATCCTTCCTAGAGGCAGACTTGGTCCTACAAACAGACTAAGAGATATTTAAGCTCCTCCTATGTAGCCTGTAACACCAGATCTCATTCATACAAGGCATTGCAAGTGTGAAGGTCCGAACAATGAACTGCAGCAGGACAGCACACCAGCCAACACCAGCTCCAACACCCAATGTGAACTGGACATGTTATCTTACCTCTGTAAGCTCGAGTCGCTGTATTTCTAAACTGAGGGCAATAGAAGTCTCTCTCCTAGGATTCTTAATGAAGATTAAATGCAACCATCCACCCAAAGCATTTAGAACTGTGCCTGGCACATATCAAGGGCTGGGTTAATGTGAGTTATTAAGACTATTAATGCCTCTGAAATGTTTCTCAGGCTTCAGCACACCGTGAGTACTTTGCAGGCATCGATGTTAGGCAGAGAAAATCCAGAAGGGATAAAGGAGAAGGCATGAGGGTATCAGACTTGAGACAGGGTGGGAAGGCTGTTCTCTGTAGCAAGTGTTTGGCTGTAGAGTGGTGCTGTGGAAGACTCCCAGGCTGGAGTGTGAATTATAGTGGTGATTGTCAACTGGAGTGTGGGAAGACTTTGTCTTCCCACAGTTAGCAGTGCTTGCGTTTGTATTTGGTTGTTGTAACTCTGGGGTGCTATTAATGGATACTAGGGATATTGTTAAATACCCTATAATGCATAGGACAAGAGTCATTTGCCCCAAATGCCACTGCTATTGAGGCTGAGAAAACCTGAATTCTAATGTAACATGACGTTATCTTAATAAGGTAGACATAGACTCTGGTACCTCATGAAGAGAAAAGCAAAGTGGCCTTTAAAACCCTTCTGCTGCTAATGGTGTTGGCACTTAGTCCTCAGCCTCAAACTGAAGACAACATCTCTTTTCCTCTGTACCCACATCTTCTCCCAAAAATCAAACAATATTTTTTTTCAAACAAAGGTTACACATTTTTATAGGTTCACCTGAGACACTAGGAAGACTCATTCTTGCTGACATGGTGGCAATTGGAGTGTTTCAGTGCCGAGAGAACCCTTCAAAATGAGCTAGGGACAAGTCTCTCCTTGAAATCGTTTGTTTCCACTTTTACAAGTAAAGAAACTAAGACGGAGGGGGACAGAAACCTGAGCTAAGTCACACCATGTGACACTCCTCAAGAATTAATAGAAGGTTTTAGTTGGACATACATGATCACAAGAATCGCATCTTCCCGACATTTGTTCTCTTGCCTTGAATTTTCCTCATAATCAGAGTCTGTCTCTCTTCCCATCTTCGGAAAGTCCCTAAGCACTGGTTTCACCTGATAGAGGTGGCCGTGGTGAGAGTACAACGGGGGAAACTGGGTCTGAGAAAACAGACAAACTGCCAGTGGACTAAGATTGCCAGTTCCTGGAGAAAGGAAAGGTGACCTCAGTACCTTGTTTAGACGACTTAGGGGATGCTGCCTCAGCACCATGGGAAATCAAGGGTACCTGCTGGGATGCTGTGTTGCTTGTGACAAAGGCAGGTGTTGCCTTCAGTCTGTGACTACAGGGAAAGAAGTGTGAGGATGAGTGGGATCGGGGTGAGGGTGGTGAGTTTGTTGGCCTAAGAAATCACATTAAAAGTAAAACCCAGGAAACTTGGGGGAACCAGGCACGTTATTGTTGTGGGGTTCTGGGACCCCTACCTGCTCAGAAAAGAGGGACTAAAGGTGCGGGGTAACTTCCCTGTGGTCTAGATCTCCTAAAGTTTAGACACCAACCGTGACTCTACCACATGAAAATAATTCTAACAAAGATATTCCCCACAAGAGGAAATGATGAAAACCCAACAGAGAGATTAGAACAAGGATGGATGCATGAGGAAACTAAGGGAAACATCTAAAAGTTACTTGGGAATGTTGCAACATCTGGTTAGTCTCTGTAATTTTTTTCTGTACAAATGTATTTCCTAGATGGGACCTGCTTCTTGGAACTCTGGGGGTCTTGTCTTTTCTCTGACTTTTTCCTTGATTCTCAAGCAACAACCACATCTATCACCAATGTTGTTTTCCTTCCCTACCTGTGCTCACAAGAAACAGTAAGCAACCTCTCCTCCAATGGTCACTGCTGATGAAATCTGCCAGGACCAGACAAACATCTATCAGCAATCACAAGCCATGGCCACCAACAGCTAAAAGAAAACCTGAAGAATCCATCCCAACAATATGAAGACCAAAGGGCAAACGTTCACCAGTGTCCCCCTCACCGGAACACACTTTCAATTCACGTCAAATCTGTTCCTTAAGAAGCATTTTGTGTTGTTTTCATGGGTCAGGTGGAAAGTCGCCCAGATTTTCTCTTAATATTGAACTCTAAGAAGCCAAGCACTTGCCATGACTTCTTCACCTTTGCCAATTACCATTCCCCTGAATCAACAGTCACTTCTTTCAAGAGCAGCCAGCAGTGTGCCAGGGGCAAGGTGCAAGCCTGGACAAGAAGCATGTTCAGTTGAGACTGGATTCTACGAAAGGCAATAGCCAGGATGGCCCCTAGTACCGTCAGTGACTGAGACATCCCCATGCAGCAAGGAATAGCCACACACTCATGCTACTACACACGCTTGCTGCTTATACACACAAGAACAGGTATCTCATTACACACAGAGGGAACACTCAGTCACACACTCACAATCATCTACAGTCTACCGAAGCATCATACATCAAATTACACACCAATAAAGATACACAACATAAGCTTCTTCCCCTCTTCCTTTCTCCCTCTCCTTCCTCCCTCTTTCTCTCTCTCCCCCTTTTCTTCTCTCTCTTTCTCTCTCCTCTTCCCCTCTCCTCTTTACGTACAACCTCATATAGTCAGTGAACACACATGCAGTCTCACAAGTACTTACCTACACAAGTGCGGGAGGGCAGCTGTTCAACCTTCAGTGGTCCCAAGCTGCAGACAGGTCCTACCCAGACAGACAGTCCACCCACCCACACCAACACACAGCCCATCCTTGCGACAAAGGCTGGTGGGTGTCGGAAGTACAGAACCCAGAATCCCCCCCCCAACCCCGGCATCCCGCCCCGCCCCCTCTCGGCATCCCCACCTGCACACGTGGGCTCCTGGGGTTCTGATCTCCTGGCGCACTCTCAGCAACACGCGGCTGCGGAAGGCTAAGGAGAGCGGCGCCCTGGCAGATTGTTGCAGCTACCTTTAGCGCAGAGCCCAGCTTCTGCCGCTTCTGTGCTGCGCTGCGCTCCCCGCCACTGCCTGCGCCCTCGCCGCCGCCCCCTAGATGCGGGCTTCAGCCCCCGCGCTGGGGAGCGGGCGGGCGCCTGGCACCAGTTGCAGGCTGGAGACCCCAGCCTGGGCTCACCTGGGCATGCAGAGCATCCTCCTCCTCCTAGCTGAGCCGGGCTCCGTGGGTTCCACAGCCCCCAGCCTGGGCGTCCCTGCGGTCCTGCTCGCTGCCGCCCCCACAGGGCACGCGGAGTGCCACCTGTGCAGAGGGGCGCCCTGAGGAGTGGGTGCAGAGGCTGCACAGATCTCACACCTCTGGTCTGGCCAGAGTGTGCTTCCCTGACCAGAACCGTACCCATTCGCTGGGGACAGAGAGAGAGCGCGAGCGATCCCTGGCCTCACTGCAGACTCCTGGGTGACCTTGGGCAAATCCGTTCACCTTTTTTGAGTGCCCACTTCCTCTATTCAGAGACAATAAACTCGAGAATGCGTCTGAGGTGCCTGTGCCAGGGGCAATCCTTCCTTGGTGCAGCCTACTTCCTTCTTCTTATGGCTGACTCAGCCTGGCCCAGAGCAAGGCTTGTCTGGGAGCGGCATTCAGGAGAATTCGGGGCGCTTTGGAAACAGGATGTCAAGTTCTCCAGAGCTAATGCTTTCGTTTGTCTCAGGGCTCCCTAAAGGATCAGCCTCACCTTATTAGTCCACTCTTTGCCTCCCTGTCTGAAGTTTCCAGGGTTTCCCAGCTCTAACCACCTGTCACCTTGACCATGTGACTAGATCAGAGCCAGCTTCAGGGCTCTCTCATAGAAAAGAGGGAGCAACCAGACAGTAGTGTGAAGGGTCTCCAAAGGTCTAGGCCTGGGTACTCAGGGATCTGAAGTATCTGTGAGGGACTATGGCAGAGCAAAATCCATCTGACCAAAGCCTCCAATGACAAGGATGAAACGGGCGATGCTTTAAATGAGAAGACGTTGCTAGGAGAGTTGCAAGAATGCAGGGTCTTTGTTGCCTGGATCAGAGAAAGACCTCAAGACCATGGGGTGAAGAACTCACCCTCAAGTACCACCGAGGCTGCCTGGAAAGTCTGCCAGACAGAGAATTAACTTCTGTGAGCAAAGAAATCTTCCAAGACAGTCTTAAAAATCATTAACCTGCAATTGGGCCGGAACAAACTGAAGTGAGCCAGGAGTTTGCCCTGGATGGTTTGTATTCGGTGCTGAGGATTGAACCCAAGGCCTCACATATCCTAGGCTAGTCCCCTGCTGTCTTGTCCTGTTATTTGATTGTCTCCTTAGTTTGGAGACAGGACCCAGGCTGCAACCTGAGGTCCTCCTGTTTTAGCCGCCGGAGTGCTGGGATTACAGGCACCACCCCAGTGCTTATGCTTGGCTGAAAAGTTTAAATTGATCAACATTTTCACCAAAAAGTTCTGTTTGTCTTCCTCCTGGCCTAGATCCCTTCCCCTCAGGACAATAAGATCCCTTTTGAAGATACAAAAAAAAAAAAAAAAAAAAAAACAGACAGAACTTGGATGAATGTTGAAGGCAGGGCTGATCCTTGTCCCAAATCTAGAAAGGACGGCAACCCTGCAGAAACCTCGATATTAACACAGTGAGAGCTGGGTCATATTATAATCCAGCCAACTGTGAGGTGACACATGTCCTAAGCCATTAAGTAATTTATTGCTGTGATGGATAATTTTTACAACGTTTGTCCCTTTAGAGTCACACCCACGTCTTTCTGGTGATTAACAGGATTCTCGTGGTGCAGACAGCCAGCTGCTTTGCTACACCCCAACCCTGTTGTGTTTCAATCAGCCTTCTCCACGCCAATGTCACATACCCTATCCCTTTTCCCTCTAGAATGTCTATGAAAGGATGAAGCTTGGGAAGAAATAGACGCAGGTGCAGAGGTGTCTCAAGCATGACAAGTGGTTCCAATGCAAGAGGGGCTAGATGAGGAGACGGAGACATACAAAAGCTGTGGGCTGTCTCCAGCCAGAAAACAACCTCCCAGGACCAGTCTTCTCAAAAAAAAAAAAAAAAAGTGAGCAGAATTGAGAAAGAAGGAATGAGACCTCATCAAGCCAAGACATCATGTTTGTAATAACTTCTCTTGCCAGCACTTGGGTTAATCCAGCAGTGTTCAGGGGCTGAGAAGCCAGCTGCCCGAAGTAGAGAACTGAGACAATAAAGCTATTATAGGCCAGATAAGAACACCGTGACTCCTTCTGGTGTGGTTTTTATTCTCTAGTCGGCCTGATATTGTTTGGATTAAATATTTATGTTTGAAGGGACAGTTAACTGATTCCTGTTTTACTACCAATAAAAATCCAATAAATGGCTATTTAGTCTGGGGGTAGCAGTCTGGGGGTGAGCATGAAGACAGGTACCATGAGCATGACCCAGTAAACAAAACCCTAGCCAAACTAAAGGTTAATGGTTTTTATTTATGTCTGATAAACTTGTTGTTTTGATATGGAATTCTCTTAGTTTCTACAAATCCAACTTCAAAATTGTGTAAACAATAAAAGCACATTCAACGCAGAGCAAACTGAACTGTGACCGGAACAAGTATATTTGGGATACACCTGAAGTAATAAATTTAATGGGACAGTGAAGATGTGGATAAGCATAAGAGCAGTTAGTCCCTCTCAAAACCCCTCAGGTTTTGTCCTACATAAAGGAGACGAGGCTGAGGAGGGAAGAAAAGAAAAGTGGGCCTGCAGGAAATGGCTTTTGACCCCAGAGGATCTCTGGGATAGTAGAAGTTGTATAAAGAAAAGAAATAAAGTTGGAAAACAGTGTTCAAAGAGGGCTTTAGGCAGTGGCCAGGGCTGTGCAAGCCCGGTAACGAAACAGGGTTCAGGCTTGACTGCGGCACTATCTTTGGCACTCAGGGATGGATCATGCTTTTCAAATCCTTGGCCAGACACCAGCAACCTCATCAGTAGGGAGTGGCAGCAGGTTTCTGCTTTCAAGCAGTATTGCTGGCAGTGGAGATGGTCAGAGATAGATGCACCCATGAGTATAACAGCCATATTTGGGTTGTTCATAATATGAATACTTTGAGATTTCCTACAAGTAATAATAAAACATTATAATAGGAGAGTTAGTGGATTACTTGAACTGCAATCTTACGCTTAAAGGCAACCTAGTAAACCAGAGGTTGGTAAATATCCATTTTCTACAATTTCCTCTGTGTGTGTGTCTGTGTGTGTGTGTGTGTGTGTGTGTGTGTGTGTGATTTATGCATGCAGAGATAAGAGAGTCTGTGGCATGTCCCGCTCAATATTCTTCACCCTATTCCACTAAGACAGGTTCTGAACCTGGACCTTGGTCAGTGGCCAGGAAGCCCCAGAGAACCTCTTATCTCCACCATACAACGACACTGGGGTTGCAAGCCCATGCATAGCCATGCTCTGTTATTTACATCAGTCCTGGGTTCTGAACTCATGTCCTCACAGTAGTGCAACTAGCCTCTTACTTCATGAGCACTCTCCCAGTCCCAACATTTTTCTTAGACGTGTGTGCAGACTTAGTTGGTATGACCCCAAGAAGATCGGATCCTTCTTCTCAAATTACTCATAGCCATCTAGAAGAGACAAGACTGGGCAGAGAATCTCAACATGCTGTGTGAAAATTCATGATGGAAACATGAACGACAAGCCGAATTCATTGCTAGTGTTACCCTCATTTTATTATTAATTAACAAACATCCACTGAGCATCTACTGTTTGCTGGTTGCAACGCTAACTGCTTCATAGACCTTCTTAAGTGTCTCCTAACAACTCTGAGAGACCCTATTAGAGCCTCACAGAGTTAAAACAGCATACACACAAGGATGAAGGAACCTGATATTGAGATGATGTGGGTAGAAAGCGGTGTCCAAATTAGACCCAAGAGCAGAATTCAGGTTGTCTTTCTGTGAGCAAGCAAGGAATAAAAGTCTTAGCAGTAACAACTACGTCAAACAGCATTCATGACTCATGGCCTTCAGTGCACCGGACACTCCGCAGCTTGAGACTCTCAAGAGTCAGGACAGACATTTAATTTAGTATTTGAGAAAGAGGGGGATAGGCTGAGCCATCACAGAAAAAAAGAATCCCATCCAGACGTGAGCTTCACATCTGGCACCGTCTGGCACTGTCGGTACTAAAGCGCAAACTGGGTACCATCTGTCAGGAATATTGAAGAAACCCCTGTTCTTGGGGCAAGGTTCAGCATCACCTCTTGCTCTCCTTGGACTTGTCTGATGCTGAAATCTGAAAAGTGGGGTGTCGCTTAACTCTTCTTTAGCTAGCACTTAAATATCAATGTTTTCCTTCTTCTATTTCGCTCTCTCCTGCTCCTCTCTGCTTCATTAGCGGCTCGTAGTTGATTTTCTTCTCACAGTTTGGGGGCCCCACCACCCAGCTCCCAAATAACCACAAGGAGTCCTGTTCTCACTTATGAATGCCTGGCCTTAGCCTGGTTTATTTCTAGCCAACTTGTCTTAAATTATCCCGTCTACCTTTTGTCTCTGGGCTTTTATCATTCTCTAGTTTATGTATCTTTCTTTCCTTCTGACTCAGTGGCTCTCCTCCTTCTTCTCTCTTCTTCTCTTATTTATTCTCTCCACCTGCCAGTCCTTATTTCTCCCTTCTGCCTGACTATTGGCCATTTAACTCTTTATTTGACCAATCAGATGTTGTAGACAGACAGAGCAACACCACAGCTTTACAGAGTCAAACAAATGAAACATAAAAGAACGCAGCATATCTCTGCGTATCATTAAACAAATAGTCCACAGCACAAATGAATGTAACACATTTTAAGTTACTATTGCACAGCAGATGCTTGCTTTCACTATCATGTGTTTGCTGACAAGTTCTATGTTTGCACCGTGGCCCAGGTTCATTGTTGAGCCCCAGAGCTATTTCTAGATATAAGATATCCAGAGTTGTTGTTGATCGCAGGAGTACCTGGTCCCTTTCAGCCTACATGACCAGAAATAAAGTATCTAGGGGAAAGAAAACATAGAGTTGTGCCAGATTAAAACCTTAAAAAACTTAAAGAACACTCTGATCATGTAGTAGAGGTTTAAAAAGTACAGTGTTTGAATTTTAGAGGCACAAGCGGGCTTGTGTTTGATTATCTGCAAGGGAAATGTAAACATCTAGGCTTTCCAGGAACAATATTTATGATAACATTACCATCTAAATGTCATTTTCCAATTTCAAACTTTTCCATCTAACTTACAGATGCTTGAAAAGATATACCTGGACTGACGGGACAGACTGCATAATTAGTGTTATAAAAAACAATAATGCATCTGGTAAGCTAAGTGGAGAGTGGAGGCAGGAAGATGTATGAATGGAAGAAGAACCTTCAATGTCCCCATCACGCAGAATAAAAGTCAAGAGATATTGAGCCCTTTCTTAATGGAAGAGCAAATACCAGATGAGCT